ACTAATAATCAAACTACTCATTTTTGTCGTTATAAACTCTTCAGCACTAATAATCAAATTACTCATTTTTGTCGTTATAAACTCCTCAGCACTAATAATCAAACTACTCATTTTTGTCGTTATAAACTCCTCAGTACAGGAAAAAACAAATAAGTAGAAAATCAAAATTTTTACTTTTGAAAATGAATTGGTTTATTTAAAAAACGTTTATTAATACAAAACTCTTATAGTACATATGTGCAAACAAATAACATACTTTGTACATATCGATGGTCCTGTGCAATAACGACACAATTCAAAATTCAAAAAACAAAACCCTTACTACTTTAAGTGGCTCATATATCTATCTAATCCATGTCGAATCCATGTCTAATATTTAGTACTTACTTTAGCAATCCTTACTGCTTACTTTATAAAAGGTTGGAAATGGATTAGACGAGGATTACAGACAAGAGCGACTTAATAGTAGTAACAGTTTTTATTTTTTGAATTTTGAATTGTGTAGTTATTGCAGAGGACGATTGATGTGGATGTATATAACATTGCTGGTGCAGGCGTTGAAGGTGATGTTGGTGGTGGCCTTAAAGTAATAGTGGCGATGTTGAAGGTGATTTTGCTGGTAGAATGATGATGGTGGCGATACTTCTGGGTCCGGTGTTAAGGTGATGGTACGATGTTGGTGGTGGCATTAAAGGTGATGGAGGAGGTGCGTGCGATATCAGCTGGTGACGGCATTAAAGATGATGGTGGGTTTTAATTTTAATTGTTGGAAATCTGTTATAACGAGAAAATCAATTAAAATGCACAAGGTAAGTAATTTGCATATGTATGTTCATACCTTAAAAATAATGATGCAAAGTCGACGGCAACGGCAACGGGAACATAAAATGAAATTTGAAATATCTATAAAATTATAAAATTTTTTTTATCAAATGTGACATTTTTCGACAAAGCCTACTGTCATAAAAACTGCCATATTTCTTACTCGCTTTAACGCACAGAATTCCTATAAAAGTAGGAATTCCGCTCTAACAAATGAAAAATGTTTCACATTTCGAATACCAAATTTGTAAATGTGTGCGTGTGATAGCTAAAAAGTTGCGAAAGAGTGTGTAACGCTGTCGAATTTGAGGGGAAACTGCTCAGCCATGGCTTGCAGGGTGCATTCAAACATACATATATACATATGAGGTACTCGTACCCGCCATGCGTCGCTTTATTTCTTTTTTCCCCTTCCCTATACTACCTATATCTTCCTTCTCACTCATGTAACGTTTTCAGTTTAAAAAATTTCACTCTTCATTTTTGCGATACCACCGCCTAAGAAGTTTCACTTCAAAAACTTACGAAACAAGTAACTTTTAGCAAAAAAAAAACCGACTTCAACTCTCATATAAAAAAAAAATATATATATATATATCTCATGATCCGCTGATCGGATCTTAACCAGATTAGTATGGGACCACCTCTGAGACACTACCTTTCCGACGCAAAAAGAATTTTCGAAATCGAAATGCGTGTGTAACACCGTACACATGATAGAAGTGAAACTTCTTAAAGAAGGTGGGAGTACCAGGTACCTACTCACGAAATTGGATTTGTAAACATATGTTTACGGTTCGGCAAACCATTGGGCGATTGAGTTACATACATAGGTTTGGTTAGAAATCAAGCAATAATTTCATTTCATCTTATTAATTTTCTGATATACACACAATTTATTTATTCATTTTCCGGTAACACCACCTTATATGAATTCGCGCTGCTAGCATCACTAGGACCGGGTTGTAATGGAAGTAATTGTATGTTTAACAAATAAATGAAAATGTTTATAATGCCATTACCAAGGCACTAAGTAACGTACGCACTTTTGTTTGCAAAATTCATTTATTTAAGTTGAAAGAAGATAAATTCCTTTGTTCGGCATTTAGTCTTACTCGCTTTCTATCTTCCAAGGCGAATTCATGTATTCTTATCACGAATTCATATATTCATGTGGTAGCAAGAGAGAAACATACAATTACCTTATAAATTAAAAGCATAAGTATCACATGTATGCGTAGTCCAATCACGGTTGCCAACCGTCCCTTTTCGGCGGGACTGCCCCGGATTTAAGAGCTATGTCCCGGTCCCGGTACAATACCTGCCGGGACACAAAATGTCCCGGTTTTTGGCAGGAAAAAAATTCAGACATCTCGTTGTTAAAAATTTAGATCTCTTTAAATATTTAACTATTTACATTTTACATATTCTATTTAATAATCGCCACTATACGTCGTAAAGTAAAAGTACAGACTATGAAGTGCAAAGTACGTCCGATATTTTTTTTGTTGAGAAGAAACTACCTGCGAAAAAATTCCCAAAGTCAATACGATTTTTTACTAACTTCAAACTGGCACATTGTTATAGTAAAATGCCAACGTGTAGGCAAATTCATGGAATTTTACTGAGTTTTGCATGAAGTTAAGAGATTTTTTTATGTTTTTTGTTGTAGTATAAGCAATATTTTTATAAAAAATTCGCCGAAAATTTTAAGTAAAAAATGTTGCATACATTGTGAGAAATTCCTGGTGACAATAATTTAGTGCGGCACTATACATACATACATTTTTAGTTAACTTTTATTGAAGTTTTTAAGTAATTTAGAAATATTATCATTGAAGCTTCGTTTTATGAAATTTTTTATATGTATATCAAATTTTACTTTCTTTTTGTTATTTATGGCCTCATAGCAATTATATTCAACTATTTGATTGAGCTTGAGGCCATTATTATTAATAAAATTTTTTGTGGAAAAACAACAGTAATTTACATTTTGATAGAAGTTATAGCTGCTATTTCGGGCAGCTATTCTGCTGCTATTTAAACTTGACCATGATGTTGTTGGTGATTTTTTGTTATATTTAGGGCTAGGTTTGGGCAAATGAGCGTAAGTGCGAAATTTATGGCCAAGAGAGGGCCCCATTTCGATGGTCCTCTGCAATAACTTCTGGTTTTCACAAACTCGTCCAGAAAAATAGTGAGGCCGAATTCGGGCTAGTGAGAAGCAAATATTACTAGCTCAAAATGGCTTTCAACAGCCCGAGAATCAACCAAAGAGACAAAAATTGACCACTTTCGGGCACCTGCGGGCGAGCAAAAGAACAGACTTGTTGTGCGTCCCGGTTACAAGAATCCAAAAGTTGGCAACCTTGAGTCCAATTCACGAAATCATTTCATCGAACTGAGTAAAAACTAAGTGCATAAACTCTATTTCGCGTTAATTGTAATCATGAAATGGTGTTCATTCATTCAGTTTCTACTCAAACGCATGAAATGATTTCATGAATTGGCCTACGCATAATGGTAGTAAATGACAGAATGAACCTTTTGACATAATGCAAGCCGAAAACGTTGGTTCAAATCAATCCGCAATCAAGTTGGACGTTTTTCCCACAAACATTGCAATTTTGCGAGCAGTCTCATT